TCTTGCCAAAAAAAAACTTCATTATAATTTTTTTTTCGTAATAACAATTTTTTTTATTAAATGTCACTTGCATTTTGCAGTGAACAACAAATAATGCAAAAAAGAGGGGAAAATTGTTGAAAAAAATATAAAGAGGGTTTAAGTGTCCTTTCAATGCTTTTTTTACTGTTGGGCCCCTCGATTTTTACATCTGACGCGCCTAATTTGAGTGTATTTCACGCATTTTGCCAGGTAGGATCCGAGTGTTTTTTTGTTTAAGTTTTGGATAGTTAAAGTGCCTATTTGTGCACTCACAAAGTTAAATGTCAAAGTTATAATTTGAAGCCAAGTTAAGGGTCCAATTTATGTATTATGCCTTTACGTTATTACCAAATAATTTTTTTAGTATACCAAATAATGTTATGTTACGTCATCGGATTTATTGATTTAAAATCTTCTACTGTTGTTTATAGTGTTTGCAAACATGTGACAATAATCATTACAGTTAATTATCGTCGTGATTATTCAACAATAAAGTTGGAAATATATTGCATTTGGATTTATACACACTTTACTTTACCAGTTTACCTAATCCAATTATTTATTATGTCGTGAATTCTTCTTGTTTGTCGTTCAAGGTAGAGTTTTTCACCCGTGACCAAATAATATAAAAAAAAAGGAACCAACTCCTTTTTCTATAAATATATATATAAAAGAAAAAGTTAGTGTCGATGTTTGTCAGAAATAACATTTTATCTCATAAAAATAGAGATAAGATCTATGTATATTATACTCTTTTCAAATTCCAGTTATGAAATAATACTAGCTAGATATGTTATTGTTGGTTAAAGAGAATTTTTTTTTTGGCCTTACTAGCTCCATTTAAGATGTATATCCTTTTCACAAATTCAATATGATAATAGTCCTAGATAAATATGAGAGCATGCATGATACAAAATTAATCGTGTTTAAAAAAAGGATTAGAAAAGAATGATTTAATTAATTATGATTTGAAGAATCTTAATAGCTCAATTGATTGGTGAGGATTCGATTCCCACATTTTAATTCCCTCCCTATTTCCTCTACCAAAAAAAAATTAATTTTGATTTGGTCACGATTTTTCATTGGCCAAAAGATTTTTTTCGCATTTGTAGAGACTTAAAACGACAAGTTCTCCTGATGCCCTTGAAAGACTTAAAAAGCACTTTTCCATTTTAAACAAGGAAAAAAGATAAATATACCTTCGAATTATCGTAAATGATATCTAAATACCCTTTGTTATAATTTTAAAACTATGATGCCCTTACGTCTAATTTTTGAAGCGTGTATATCCTTTGGACTAACGGAGGTTACGTATCACAATCTTAACAGTCAATCCAATATTTAATTAATTCTTATCCACAATTAAAAAAATCGACCCGAATAATTTAAAACCCACCCAAAACAATTTAAGACCCACACCCAAATAAATCTCATTTTCCCTTTCTTTCTCTAGTTCAAGCAACCAAACACCCCAAGAACCAGTTACACAACACCGCTGCAACTCCATCTTCTCCTGTGAAAAAGCTCCACAAATTAACAAAACCACCTCTAACTGCTATCGAACCTAACCTCTTTCGCTCCAGCGAAATCAGCGAGGTAGTGGCCCTTCGTCCACCACGAAACCTGACCACCATGCACCCATATCTCCTTCACTCCAGCGATCTGAACCAACGACCTTCGAATGAATTTATAATGGCAAAACTTATAATTTTTTTAGATGGTTAAAACTTTGAAACATGAAGATTGTAGGAGCTGAAGCCAAGAAAATAGATTTATTAAAATCGAAAATCAACAATACATTCAACAATCACGCTACAATGAGAAAAACGTGGGT